CATTGAATCTGTAGATTGAGTTTGGTAAAATGGCCATTTTTATTAGGTTAATCTTACCAGTTCTTGAGCATGGGAGATCTGTTCATCTTCTAATATCTTCTTCAGTTCCTTTCTTCAAAGACTTGAGGTTTGTGTCATATAGGTCTTTGACTTCTTTGGTTAGAGTTGCCCCTCCTATACTTAATATTATTTGTGGCTATTGTGAAGGGTGTGGTTTCCCTAATTTCTTTCTCAGCCCGGTTGTCATTGTAATCTAGTATCCAGCCACTTAGTTGAAGGAGTTTATCAGTTACAGGAGTGAGTTCTCTGGTGGAATTTTGGGGGTCACTTATGTATACTATCATATCACCTACAAATAGCAAATAATGATGGGACCTCTTGAAAAGGACACTATCAATAGAATGAAATGGCAGGCTACAGATTGTGAAAAGGTCTTTACCAATCCTGCATCTGATAAAGGGCTAATATCCAGAATATATAAAGAATTCAAGAAATTAAACACCAACAAATCACATAATCCAATTTTAAAATGGGATAAAGAACTAAACAGACTCTTTAGAAGAATCTCAAATTCTTTAGAAGAATTTCTTTAAGTGCAGAGAAGCACTTAAAGAAATGCTCAATGTCCTTGGTCATCTGGGAAATGCAAATCAAAATGACTCTGAGATTCCATCTTATATTTGTCAGAATGGCTAAGATCAAAAACTCAAGTGACAACACATGCTGGCGAGGATGTGGAGAAAGGGGAACCCTCCTCCATTGCTGGTGGGAGTGCAAACTTATACAACTACTTTGGAAACCAATTTGGTACTGGGAATAGAAAACTGAGAATAGCTGTATCTCAAGACCCAGCTATACCACTCCTGAGCATACGCCTGAAAGATGCTCCACCATACAACAAGGACATTTGCTCAACCATGTTCATTGCAGCTTCATTTGTAATAGTCAGAACCTGGAAACAACCTAGATTTCCCTCAACCAAAGAGTGGATAAAGAAACTGTGGTACATTTTTCACAATGAAATACTACTCAGCCATTAAAAACAAGGAAATCATGAAATTTGCAGGTAAATGGATGGAACTAGAAAAGATCATCCTGAGTGAGCTAACACAGACCCAGGAAGACACTTACAAGTGGATTTTAGTCATATAGTACAGGATAGGCATACCACAATGCACAGACCCCAAAAAGATAAGCCTATTCATGTCATCCTACTAGTTAGGGGAATGGGGGATATCTCTGACACAGACTATGTTGCCTGCTTTTTTTTTTTTTTTTTCACTTCCTCCTGATGGAACTTTCTTACAAGGCCACAGAGGAGGAAGATAAACTCAGTCCTCACATATCTAGATGAGCTAGGTTGTCTGGGGGGGGGGGCTCCCCTATTCTGAGGAATAGAAAAAAGGAGATGTGGGAGAGAAGGTAGGACTTGGAGGAGGTAGGTCCACCTTTATAGGACTTGGCCTCTTTTTCCTTTCAGTATTTAATATTCTCTTTGTTCTGTATGTTTAGTGTTTTGATTATTATGTGGCCAGAGGATTTTTTTTTTTGGTCCAATCTATTTGGTGTCCTGTAAGCTTCTTGTATGTTTATAGGCACCTCTTTTTTTAGATTGGGGAAGTTCTCTTCTATGACATTGTTAAAATATGTTCTGGGCCTTGGAGCTAGAGAGTCTTCTCCTTCTTTTATTCCTATTATTCTTAGGTTGGTCCTTTCATAGTGTTCGATTTCTTAGATGTTTTGTGTCAGGAACTTTTTAAGACTTAACATTTTCTTTGACTGATGTATAGATTTCTTTAATTGTATCTTCTATCTATACCTGAGAGTCTCTCTTCCATCTCTTGTAGTCTGTTGGTTATGTTTGTGTGTGTAATTCCTGTTTTCTTCCCTAGGTTTTCCATCTCCAGGATTGCCTCATTTTGTGTTTTATTGTTTCTATTTCCATTTTTCAGGTCTTGAACAGTTTTATTCATTTCCTTCATTTGTTTAATAGTATTTTCCTGTATATTATTAAGGAATTTATTCATTTCCTTCACTTGTCATTGAATTTTCCTGTATTTCTTTAAGAGATTATTTTTATCTTCTTTTAAGCCCTCTACCATGGTTATAAGGTTGTATTTAAGGTTGTCTTCTTTTGCTTCCACTGTGTCAAGAGTGTCCAGGGTTGTTGTAGTAAGCAAGCTAGGTTTTGGTGATGCCATGTTGCCCTGGCTCTTGTTGGATGTTCTTACACTGGCCTTTTGCCATCTGGTTGTCCCTGGTGTTATCTGGATGTTCCTGACAATGGCAGGATTCCTTAGGGAGGCAGGCTGAGCCCCGGGCCTGATAGTGGAGATCAGGGAATTGCACACTGGTCACTTCTTCTGGCTGTGTGTTTCTGTGGACCTGCAGGCCTGGATGTTCCTCTGCTGGCAGGAAAAAGGTTGGACACACTCTAACCTGGCTCTTCCTGAAGCTCTGCAGGACTGGATGATCCTGGGGCTAACAGGCTTCCTCCAGAGGGAAGGTTATTGAGCTGGGAGGGGAAGGGGTATGCTGGTCTCTTCTTAATCACCAATTATTTTTTAGCTCCACTGACCACCATCAAGTGTCCCCATAAAGCAAAGGTTTTACTTCAGTGGTTCTGGTCAGTTAGACCACAATTTTAGACCACAAATTCTTAGCTCAAATAGCAGGAGGCTTTTAAGTAACTCTCAAACTTCCCTCTGGAACTTCACAAGGTAGGTGTCCATCATCTATATTGTTCTCAACATTATCTTCCAAGCTCCCACAGAACAGTCCATCAAGCTCTGTATGCTCAATGCCTTTTCTTGCCCAAAATCCCGAAGTCCTTCCACACTCCTCCCAAAAACACATGGTGAGGTCTGTCACAGCAATGCCCATGATCCTGTTTCCAATTTATCTTCGGGTTACTATTACCGTGATGAAACAGCACTGCTGGCCAGCAAAGAGCAGAGCCCAGACTCTGAAAAGGAGAACTTCTACACTCACTCACAGGGCTTCAGATGTGTCCTCCTTTTACCAGAACTTTTGAACCTTAGGACTTTCAAAGAACCTTCTGTGTGCCCACAGAATAAAAGCAGGTTTTAAATGGTAATGCAGAGTAGCTGAAGATCCATCTCTAAGTCTCCTTATTTACTTTTAAAAAATTCTAGTGTTGCCAATCTTTATAGTTTTAGCCATATGCAGAGAAGGATTAGCTGAGCGTTGGTAGGTGGGGGGAAAAGAAATAAGTATTCGTCACAGACTCAAGTTACCAAACTTAACCTCTCTCCAGGCAAGGCAGAGAAGAGATGGATCTCCACAAGTAGGTGATTAGGAAACCATGGATGCAGTCACCAGCAGGATAGTGAGTCCTTGTCTAAGGTAGACAGGATGTCGGTCCTTTTGGTGGTTGTTTTATGTTTATTTTATGTGTATGGATGAGTGCATGCATGTATGTGTTACACATGCACGCCCTATGCCCTCAGAGGCTAGAATTGGAGTTATGGGTAGCTGTGAGCCACCATGTAAGTTCTGGGAAATAACCAGAGTCCTCTTAAACTTAGACGTATTCTTAAATTTTGAGCCATCACTCCAGATCCTCACCCCCTCCCTTTTTTTAAAAACAAGAAGCTGGGCATGCTGACACACACCTTTAATCCCAGCACTTGAGAGGCAGACGCAGGAAGATCTCTGAGTTCAAGGACAGTCTGGTCTAAAATTGAGTACTAGGACAGCAGTGTTACACAGAGAAACTGTCTCAAAAACCCAAAAGAGAAAGAGAAAAGCTCATGCTCAGCTCTTTCAAACTTGTGTGGACCAGGCAAATCTCAGCCTGTGGCTGTACAGCCTGCGATTCTGCCCCTCCCTGCCTCCACCCACAGGCCTGTCCATCAAACTTCCTAAAAGGCTCATGTGCTCCATTTTTCCAAGCTCATGTTGTAGTGAGTTCTAAGATTCTGGCTTTCCTATTTTCCTCATAAACAGTAGTCCCCCAAAGGAGACAACCCATTACCATTACATTTTGCAAAAATGCAAAAATTAATCCATAAAATTGAGACACCAAAACAGAGTGCTATGTGCTTTTCAGTGTTGCTCTCCCAAGAGCACAGAAGCAGAGCAGAGAGAGAGCAAAGTCCCTCAGGAACCTACAAGCCAGCGGTATGTGAAGCCTGCTGGGGCTGGTGGTCACTGAGGGAGAGGAAGCTGTAAAGTGGCCCTGGGTGCAGGTACCTTAAAGAAGGACATTTACCTAACCCCTAAGGTAGTGCTGTGAGGTGGGCACTCTCCAGCCTGCTTCACTGATAAGAACGTGAACTCTGAGATCCGGTTTGCCCAACGTTGCCCAGAGTCAGTCCTACTCAGAGGGGTCCTTGTCCTCTTGATGGGCCTTAACTGCCTCTCTCCCACCTCCTGCCTTGGCCTGTCATACCCTCTCCCTACTCGGTGAAGGAAGACCTTTCAAGCCCCTGGTCATCACTGGAGGAGAAACTCCAGGACTGCTAGCTTCACTTACAATTGTTTGCCAGTGACACAATTAGAATCTTACCATCTGGTGGCTACTAATTTTAACTGCTCACTTGCTCAGCAGTTATAGAATCTAAGGCCCCCTTACTGGGCTACCAGTGGAGAAGGGTTTCATGGTTTTATTCAGCAGATTGGAGCCCAATTTCACATGTCGTTAACCTAAAAGTGAAGGAAATGAAGCTTAAATGCTTCTCTGTGTTGAATTCACCAGCAGATACCATGCATCTATTTCATAGCAATAAATTATGCCTGGGATAATGCAAATTAATCTGTACCCCTCAGATTCTATGAACCCCACATTCTATGTGTGGCCTATTGCTCCCAGAGACAATGGCTCCTGCTGCCAAATGCCCTAGATGAGGCCCTCAGTGGGTTATGTTGCTCCTGAGAGCTGGGTGAGGTCCCGGTGAGGTGTGCTGTATGCAGAGAGCTGGGTGGGTCGTGCTGCTGCAGAGGCCTGGGTAGGAAGAGGTCTCAGAGGGTGCACTTACTCCAGCTTCTTGAAGCGCTCCCGGCCTGCAGCCACGTACTTGCCACCGGCCTGCAGCGTGTCCAGTCCGAGCACCTGGTGGCCTTGTGTGGGCGTGTAGAGCCTCCGCACACCGAAGGGCACCTCCACCTGCTCCGTCAGCTGCTCCAGCAGAGCCTCGAAGTTGGCTACTCGGCGCCGCGAGAACACGAACTTGCGGCCCACATAAAACTGGTCCCCGTTGCGGTACACCAAGATGGTCTTGGCCGGCGTGGTGTCCACTAGCGTATAGGGCCTGCGCGTCCCCATGGCCACAGCTCGATTGCCTCGGGATGCCCAGAAGCATGCACGGGGAGTTGCCCAGCACACCCGCCGAGAACCCACGGGCTCCCAGCGGGCCACAGGCGGGACTGGGCTGCTTGGCCAGTCCGCCTGAGCCTGCAGCACACGCTGACGTTCCCGGGGCGATTGTGACTGGGGCGGGTGGGAGAGGGGTGACAGAGAGCCAGGCAGGACAGGGGTGACTGACCAGGGACATAAAGGATGCAGAGATGGTTCAGAATGCAGATGAGTAAGGACAGAGAAACAGGTTGGAAGCATCAGGATGCTCAGAGAGATAGCATGAAACAGAGAACCCCTACAAGCGGGGACATAGGGCTGGGAGGGTGCAGGAAGAGCTCAGACAGGTGAGGGGCTGCAAGGAGAAAAGGGAGGGACTGGTGAGTGGCACTTGCCACTAATTCCAATACTTGGGAGGCAGAGGCAGGGAAATCTCTTTGAGTTCGAAGCCAGCCGGGACTACATAGTGAAATGCTGGAAGGAGTGGGAGGAATAAGAAGGGAGCAGCAGCAGGCACCAGATAGGTGAAGTTGATGTGGCTCAAGGAAGAGGAGAAAGAGATGAGGCGGTGCTGGGCTAGAAGCACCCTCAACTCCCAGCATGCTAATGCCCTCCACTATAGAGGAAGGGACCAGAGCTATCAGACCACTAACACTCGGGGTTGCTGGAAGCCTGTCACCTTCTGAGCCTCTGTTTCTTACCTTCATCCCACATTTGTGTAGAACTCCCGGCTCAGCACCACAGAGTATTGACTGAACTGTCTGCTGTGGCCACCAGTACCCAGAACTTCAAATGTGTGACATTTTAGGATACACAACAGGTGGAGTAGTGTGAGGGGACCTTTGGTAACGTCGTCCCTATTCTGAGTAAAGACAGGCCAGCTATCTCTTAAAATAGTTCTAAAAATACTTTCCCAAAGGTTTTAATGTCCCTGAACAAGCTCTCAAAGCCATAAGTTATGTACTTGTTACCTGTGGAATCTACTCAAACATGCTGCAGAAAACTGATACTTTCATCATAAATTTATTTAATCACCTTACAGCCTGATCGAAGCCCCCTCCCTCCTCTCCTCTCAGTTCCACCATCACACCCCTTTCCCCTTTCCTTCTCTCTCCTTCTCCTCATAGAAAAGGAACATTCCCCCCACGGGTACCACCCCTTCCCTTTTAACTATCAATGTTTTGTAGTGTTCTTCAGGAGGTTATCCCACCATTCACAGCTATGGCCAGTTTTTAAGCTCCCAACTAGATGGCAACAGGAGACGAAGACCAGTTTGTGGGATGACCATTTTATTGAACCACCAGGTGTTTGGAACACGGAAGACGGTGGGTGGAGACGACTACCACAGATGTGCCGTTCAAAGATTCGCCCTGAAACCCCCTTTCAGAGAGAACCTCAGCATGGGCTTCTCCCGGAGAGGCCGCAGCAAACAGATGGAACTGGGGAAGCCCTTGAGCCGAAGGCGGCTCACACCCCCGTCAGGGACAATGGTAAGCCTGGCATGAGTGATGACATCCTGGAGCTCCAGGGTCAGGCTGTCCAACAAGTGATTTTGGTCAGGAGATAGCTGGGGGGAAAAAATAAGACAAATGCAAGGTCCTTAAAGGATGGTTGTGTGGGATTCTTACAGGACTTAAGAAATATTTTTCAAGAAATAACCTGGCCTAACAGAAATCGGCTAGTGGGGAAAGGACACCCGCATGACAGTGACAAGCGTGCTCAGGTGTCAAGGCATTTCTTAGCAAGAAGATGAACTGATCAAGTGAACAAGGAGGTAATCTGGTGTCTCCATGGTAATCGCCTCCCTGACCCAAGACACTCTACCACATATCAGAGCGTCCATCCTATGGATGGGCACAGCATGATAACTTTAAGAGTGCCAGGCACCCTTCTAACAAGTTAAATGTACTGTACAGACATGTGTCTGTGTATGAATTCTTAGCATATCCTTAGCATGATGGGTTTTTGTTTTGTTTTAGCAAAATTTGGCATGCAAAAGTCACAGAGTCTACCTTCTCTGTGGAAAACGCGTGCTGTGTCTTTTTACAGTACATTAATTCTACCGTTAAACTGAGCAAAGACCTGTAGGAAAGTGAATTTGAGGAGTTACAATCCCAGCTGCTTGAGAGACAGAGGCAAGGTCACAAGTTCAAAGCTGGCATGTGAAACTCATCAAGACCCTGTCTCTAATAGTAAAAAATAGGATTGGAGCTCAGGAGGAGGGAGATTTGCAGGGGTGGAGCTCAGGGGGAGGGAGAAGCGTAGCATGTTCAAGATCCCAGGTTTCTTCACAGATTTGAGGGTCAGTCCTCAAACTGCACCCCACAAACCTTGGTGACTGGAAGCAATGGTTTCCACTTATGGGTAGGAAGTGTCCACTCATGCCTGATCATGTCTTCCTCTTCCTGTGTCGTCAGGACACACCCATCCACTTTGCAGCTGTCAGGAGAATTGCCTGTTGGGAAAAAAAAATAAGAGATGTGGGCACTGTTTCATTCAGTATAGCTTAGCTTCTAGGACACAGGTAACTGAATCAGACGAAACCCCAGAAATGGGCTGGGAAGATAGTTCAGTGGTAGAACCCTTGCCTGGTGTGCAAGAAGCCCTAGGTTCAACTCCCAGAACCACAAAACAAGAACAACAACAAAAATCAAAAACAAGCCAGAATTCTTTCTAAGCAAAATGTGCAGTGAGGGAGAAAGGAAAGAACGGAATTGTGGAGTACGGGAGTACATGCCATTCAGATGAATGAGAAGCAGCTAGCCCAGTGTTAGTTGGGTGCATTCATACTTTGAAAGTGTACTTAATAAGCATCATAGGCTGCAAACTAAATTGCTTGCTTACTGTTACATAGCACCTCTGAAATCATGTTGACCTAGGAACAATGTCACTTTGTAAAGTGACAATAAAAAGAAATGGGGCTGGTGAGGTGGCTCAGCACTTAAGAGTGCTTAACGCTCTTCCAGGGGACCTGAGTTCGGTTCCCAGAACATACAACTGTGTTTAACTTCAGCTCCAAAGGATCTGACTGCCCTCTAGGCACCATGCCACACCTCTTACACGTGAAAAAATAAAAACAAATCTCTAAAGTGAGAGAAAAGACAAAGAAAATCATAACTACTCAGCACTCATGGGTGCTGAGCCCAAATCAAACATTCTGTGCTCCACGATTGCTAAGTGGTCTCTAGGTGGAAAAAAAATACAGCTTTGAGTCTTTCTTCTCTTTATAACTTCATAGACTCATGCATGGGGTCAGAGGTCCTAGGAGAAGGGTTAACACGCTCATGTGAGTAATACTCCAAGATGGAGATTCCAAACCATGGCAAAAGCCCCTCCCTGCCTACATGCCCTTCTCAGTGTTTCCTCCTGGGAGAGTAGCCTTGCACATGGGTCATGTGTGAACCCAGAATGCAGGGTGAATATCAGAGCTGCTGTATCTGTCTCTGACATGTGTGTTTACTAAACCTGTGCATCCTTGATCCAACTGAATATAACCTTTACCATTCATACCAAGATACTGTCATGCTCCCTCACTCCTGAGTCTTACCACAGTATTCCATATAGATCCCAAGGATCTGGCAGCTTACATTCATGACCTATTTTGAGCTTTGGTTACAAGGATTTAGTGTTTGTTGCCTTTGACTAAACTCCCTTATGAAAACACAAGGCTATCCTACGCCAGTCATGATAACTATAGACTAACGATGCTATTAAAATTCAAGCACATGCAAATAGGCTGGCCTGTCACCTGCCCCTGAGGATAAACTTGTCAGTCTCACTGATTGTGAGAACAGCAGCACAATCTCATGTGAGGTCTTTCCGCATGGGTCCAACCTCTAGCCCCACACACATGCACACACATACACATCAGGCTAAATAAACTGCAATCTGCCAAAGGAGAGCCAAAAGCATAAAAGGTTTTGAAGATTCTTTATACCCGCTACTAAACCTGGCCTTTATTGTATTGTTGAGTCTTCATATAATCAATATTAAAAATCATGATTTGGAAGCCATTTAAAAACCAACCATCCACAGTATGAATATAAACTGCCACCATCTGTTATAGAGACGGCTAAATAATCATGAGATGCCCCATGCAATACTCTCATCGCCTAACATGCGCTTCCATAGCCTCTCTGATTTTTTTTAATATAATGGGCATCAAACATTTTATATGAAAGCAAGTACAGACTAAACAGGCTACTGTCCAGATTCTTTTTACTACCAGATCCCCTCTCTGCTTCTCTCAAAAGCTCTTTGCACCTTCCAAGGGCAACTTGCCTCACTGAAACCCGGAATGTCATGTGGATTGATGGGCCTGTCTCTAAGTCTCCAGCCCACAGCCTGGAAAGTCTGGCCTAGAGCCGCAGCTTTCTTCCTTTCGTAGCTTTCTAATGAGATGACCCTCAGAGCCACCTGGCCAACTAGGGCTTCTCAAGAAATTCTGGGTGGCAGAATTAGAAGGACCCTTCTCAAAGCTGCACAGCTGAATGAGGCAACCACTACTTCAGCGAGCCCCCATGGCTCTGCTACCTGAATAGTGAACACACCAGTGGTAAGGTCCTGCCTGCCCTGAGGCTTACCTTTAAAGAACTTCGTATCAATTTCAATGTGAGTGATGACTCCAGGATGCGCCAATCGGAACACTGCCCACTCACAGCCTGGGACCTGGAGGAGGCCATTCTCGTCGTTCTGGAATTCAAAGTCAACAACAAACCGTAAGCCAACTTGGATTCAAGTAAGGCCAACCTAAACACCAGCAGGAGAAGTTCACATATCATGCTGTTTACTACCAACAAGCCAAGCGGGGTGGCATGAGAAAGAGAAACAGGAGCGTCAGGAGTCAAGGCTAGCCTGTCTACCTGAGACCCAGTCAACACACACACTTGATATGACCAATGTATAAGCACTTTGTGAATTGCCCCCTTCCTCTTGTCACCTTGGTGTTCATGTTGCCTCTTGAGTTCATT